CTTCCTTATCTTTAAATTGTTTGCATTACATTTTTAAAAATGTGGAATGCAATTTCAATAGATTATTAAAAATTTAATCACTTTATAAGGATATGGATATAATTGGTTATGTAGGTAACTTTTAAACTTTAATTATTATCTTTTCTCCATTGAAAAGAATCGCATTTTCTCCAGAAAATAAGAACAGAAATAACAAATATGAGGCCATTAAAATTTCTTGTTGTTTCATCCATATAGGCCTGTATTTAATATGTATATATGTATGTGTGTTTGATGCTTTGTGGCATAATATGAATTTTATTTTAATTCTGAGAAAATTCTTATATTAGACAACTGCTAACTACCACCTATCTTCCATCCATCTTTCAAGAAGAGCCACATAGAATATTTATATATTCTTATTTTCTTACTACTGATTCTGTAGTTTACTGTAATCCTGAAAAATTTATTCTGTGAAAGTGAGGAAATTGATTACAGTACCTAATAAAAAGACCAGTACATAATTAGCATTTAAGGAATGATGTTAGTGGACATAATATTTAGCTATACACTCAATCCACTGAGAGATTAGTGGATATATGAAATATCAGCNAAAATTTCTTGTTGTTTCATCCATATAGGCCTGTATTTAATATGTATATAAGTATGTGTGTTTGATGCTTTGTGGCATAATATGAATTTTATTTTAATTCTGAGAAAATTCTTATATTAGACAACTGCTAACTACCACCTATCTTCCATCCATCTTTCAAGAAGAGCCACATAGAATATTTATATNTATCATCCATCATCTATCTATCATCTATCTATCTATCTATCTATCTATCTATCTATCTATCTATCTATCTATCTATCTATCATCTATCTATCATCTATCTATCATCTATCATCAACTACCTATCATCATCTANCTATCTATCTATCTATCTATCTATCTATCTATCTATCTATCTATCTACTACCTATCATCATCTATTATCTACCTACCTACCTATGCATCTATCTACCTATGTCTATTTCCATATATACTTATGAAATGAGGCTGTTCTACAGACTTAGGGAGAAAGGAAACCAATAGTGTTAAAGTGGCTCTTTTAATAATGCTCGCAGTCATAATTAGTAACCTTTCCATTTGTTAGCCAGTTTCCACTAGCATATTCTGATTCTGTAAAAAACCCCAACCACTGGTCTGGAAGAGCAAGAGAGGTCACCATGGTTGTTCCTTCGATGTCACTATGTTTGTAGAGCACAAGTGATTAAGAACATTATAAACGTGAAAAGAAATTAATTCATATTTTATATTATTGTCTTACTTGTTATGAGCAAACTAAAAGTTGAAACAAATAAAATAGGTACAGCTAAGAGAATGAAATTGTAAACTACTTCATTTTGCTTAATTTAAAAAATTTGAACCAGGCCATTAAATGAGAGTGTACCTAATCTCTCCTCCCCAACTCACACCCGTCTCTATGCATATATATAAAGTTAGTTAAGTAAACAGAATACACACGAGATAATGAAATAATAAAGTTGATGTTACAATAGGCAGGCACTACTTGAGAAACAAAAGCCATAAAAATTTAAAGATGAGCTCCGAGGGTTTGAAGAGAAAAAGACTGATGTTGTAGATTGGGATTCATATCATTATATTCCTGAATTTATAGTAAACCTATCCATATCCTACTATGGCATTATTCATCGAAATTCTCTTCTGGATATAAACAGCACGCTCTGAAAATGCAATTTAAAGCTAACCAGATAAAAAGTGATCCTTTAAATGACTTTGCCTTAGGCTATAAATTGACTTGGGAGCCATTCTATGTTCCCAAACTCCAGGTTTAGACAAACAGTTTTCAGAGACTTCTCAGACACTTTGTCTCTTCGAGGGTCTAATAAAAGTCACTTTCCTGGCGTTTACAAATCAGTAATTCAGAACATTGCCTTTGCTGTCCACTGCTCACATTATCAGATGGTTCTAAGGGTCTAATCCGGCACCTCCACTGATTGGTTATCATATTTTGGTAAAGCTACTTAAGTTTCTAAAAATAGATATAATCTTGTGAGAATTAAAATGATCATTTGTGTCAATTGCTCAGCAGAGTCTTACACCTGTTACTGGTCATGTTACTCCCTGATTGACCTCCTGCGGCTCCTCAGTCTTCGGGGGACCCCGTGCCCTTCACACGGCCAGAAGAGCCCCTTCATACACCTTTAGCTCCCACCGTTTCCCTTCTATGTCTCTCACTGTAACCACACCAAATGATTTGTTCTTCTTTAATTTTTCCTGCTGTCTCAGGACTCAGTGCTTTTGCTATTTCTTTGCTACTCCCCTTTCATGAATGGGCCCCCAATTCTCATCCTCCTGAAATCTCCCATGAACCATTCGTGCTGAACTAGGGCCTCTTCTCTATGCTCTCACAGCACCTTTTACATATCTTTATGATCGTACATGTCATCCAATATTACATTTTTCATTTACATTTTCATTTCCCTCCCACAAATCTAGACTATAAATCACGCGAAGGCAACAGCTCTTATTATTATTTTTATCCGCAGAANATGTCATCCAATATTACATTTTTCATTTACATTTTCATTTCCCTCCCACAAATCTAGACTATAAATCACGCGAAGGCAACAGCTCTTATTATTATTTTTATCCTCAGAGTATGGCGCATATTAAGTGTCCTCTACATTTTTTGCCAAAAGAATAAATATTGCACTGGGTCACTGGTGAGGATGGGACTTTTCTGCTAAGGAATTTCAAGGTGCTTTTCTTTTACATAACATCTGAAAGCATGCGTTGAAGTTTAGAGTTGAAACCAAAATACATTTTTGATATGTAGATCAGAACTTATTGTTTTCTTATTAGATGAGACTGCCTTGTCTAGAAGTCCCAGATGAACACAGGTGCCTTATTTAGATGTAGCCCCCTGAGTCTGGGAGTGCGTTTCTTTTCTTTTTTTAAATCATGATCTGAGGGGTGAGGATATTTTTTTCCATTGATTTTAGAGAGAATGGAAGGGATGGGGAAAGGGAGTGAAGAGAGAGAGGGGGAGAGAGGGAAACATCAGTGTAACAGAGACACATCAAATGGTTGCCTCCCACACGCGCCCTGACAGGGGGCAGGGATCGGACCTGCAACCCAGGGACATGCCCTTGACCAGGAATTGAACCTGAGACCCTCCGGTGCACAGGCTGACCCTCTAACCACTGGGCCACCCTGGCCGGGGCTGGGAATGCATTTCTAACTCAATGAAATAATCAAAATGTCATACTTTTAAGAAGTTTGGTGAATTTCTTCATATGTGAAATAAAGTCAGAGAACTGAGTTGCCGGGAGGCAATAAATACAGCTGTGATAGGACCATGATGAAACTTCTCCGGAGCAAACTGGCCTGGAGTTGCATCCTTGCTCTGCACCTAGCCTAAGTCTTGACATGTGGTCAGGGAAAAAAATAGTCAATAGGACACAGCAGGAACACTTCTTTGTGTATTTTTTAATATTGGGTTTGATTATGGAGTTATGCTTGTGATAATTATAATTTCATTCCAATAATTTTATCTCTAGCTTAAAAAAAATTATCTCCAGCAGGATTATAAATAATTATCACTGATATAAAACATCCAGGTTATAAGTATTCTTTTTATTCATTTATTTATTCTCTCTCCCTATGCTGTGTTCCTTCTTAATTAAATATGTCAGTGCCTTTTCACTTTTTCATTAGATATAGTTGTACCAAAGAATTTCTTATGGATCAATATTGTTCATCAGTATAAAAATAAAAAACAAAACACTCGTTCTGTCACAGAATTTGAAACTCAAGTAGCTTCACTTTGAAAGGGTGACAAACTAGAGAAAAACTGTGGCCTATTTAGTGGTCTTATCATGAGCATTATTAATAATTCGAATGAAAGGACTTTACAGGATAATGGAGCAGTTAAGAGTACAGACCATGGCCCTCAAATTTCAGCTTAGCTTCTTGCCAGTTGCATCAATCTAAACAAATGGTTCACCTTCTCTAGGCTTTTGTTTTCTCACAAGTAAACTTAGAAAAATAATATGTGTCTCATTGAATGTTGAAAAGTTTAAATGAGATAATACATGTAAATACTTCACATTTCTGGTATTTTCAGAGGCTCAATAAATGATAGCTATTATTGCCATTATTCATAAAGAGTTTTATAATAAATTTTCTATTCTTGAATTCTTATATGAATATAGGTATTTTGTCAATGATGGGAATATAATTTCATTATGATTAGATATTAAGACATTTTTCTAATCAGGAACACTGCAAGAGCCACCTATATTATCCTAACAAAGACGACTTTGAAAGCCAAAAAAGAATTCAGTGGTAGAGCTGGATTCAGAATGACTAAGGCGTTTCAAAGCTTATGTTACATGATGTTGAAATACCTTAGTCCTTTCATCTCCCATTTTGGTTTGCAATGTGTTGAAGCTATGGAGTTAATTTGAGTTTCTAATTAAGCCCATGCACCTATATATAAACTTATAATGTGCATTCCAGTGGAGCCTGTCTCCTGACCACTGTTTTTGTTGGTGTAACTGAGATAAGAAGCCAAAGTTGCATAATTTTGAACTAACCGCTAAAGTCATTTGCTCATGGCTTTCTTCTCTACCAAGTTTTCTTTCATATCATATTATGGTGCCACACCGGTGAACAATTAGGTTAGCACCACCCACTGAGACTCTGTGTTACAGGGTAAGTGATGAATTCTGCATAAAGAGACACATTTGGGCCACATTACAACTGGCCCAAATGTAAAGGCATTCCTTGCATCATGTATGTAAGTATGTAAGGATAACACTAAAACATTAACCGGTATGACCGTATGGCCACTGGCATGAACACAATCTTGCTTGATAAGACTATTAAAAATTTAGGACATCAGATTTTTAACCATCAAGACATTAGATTTTCAAGTATTGGAACGATACTAAATTAAGATCTTACTTTAATATACTTTGAAACTTACTTTCATCTCCTGTTTCAAATTCGAACTTCTGACTGTAGCCACTATATCCAGTTGTAGTCCTCACTCGGATGTGAAATATGTACTTGGTGGCTGGCTTGAGACCGGTGATGATGACACTGGGGGCCTTGGACCTCGTGGAGGAATAGGTGAGCTGCTCATGCTCCTGGGGACAGAAAAGAAGAAAACAGAAACGAAGCAGAGTTATTCTACTTTTTCCTAGAGACATTCCAAAGTTAAGCCAGGGAATTATGCCCAGAATATCAAAAGTATCGATTAAAAGGAGGTGTAAGCATGGTTTTCCACAATTTATCATTTAGCTATTTATCACTAGGATGCATATGATATGGTGTTGGCTTGGAGATTTTTTAATAAAGATGACCCGTTGTATATAAACTGCACTGTGTTCTCCGTGATTTGGATTTCTGATCCAACTCTGAGGGGTGGTGGTGGTGCGAGAGCACGTTTACACAGAATGGCAGCTGCGCCCTGCGGGCAAGGGGCACATCCCATCAGACCCAGCAGCAGCGAGCACGGAGCAAGGGTGGAGGAGTCAAGTGCCCGCTCCTCACTTCTACCCGCAGGCAGTGCCAGAATGCCGGCGCTATCCGTGGGTAGGCCTGTGGGTGAAAGGAAACATAAACTAATTGGCTTTTAAAGTTCGAAATCTTTTATCCTGAATCAACTGCTTGGTTCCAAAACTCAGTGATTCCCCAGTGGAAGCAACTCAGGTTAAGTCCACTGAAAACATGAAACGATTAAATGTGAGAGCAACTTGACTCCTGTCCCAGGTACCACAGTTTAGTTTTAAAGATGTACAAGTTACATAGTGACTGTGAGGTCGATTTAAAAATAGTGTGGCCATGAAGGAGCATCGAAGACGCAGAAAGGTGTGAGAGACTTACCAGGCCTTGGGAATCAGAGGCGGGCCTGGAGGCTTGGCTGCCCAACTACCTCTCCCACTAACGGGACTGAGCGACCCAGTCTGTCAGGGGTTTTAAGTGGCCGGACCTCAGAACAGGGTATTTCAGTTTACCTGTGCATGTAAGTGACCGAACAATATGCTGCTGGTGGGGACAAATTCAACTTAATACTGTTTTTGTAGTGTTATTGTTCAGTAACTTTCTGATATATATATTTTTATATTTTAATAGGGTAGCTGAAAAAAACAGTATTTGTATGAACAACTCTTCTAAATTCATAGGTCAAATTAGGCCACAAGGTCCTTAAGTTAATTAGCCACTGTTTTTATGATAAATCTAGAGATAGAGACTCTCAGAGATGGAAGTGACTTTTGAGGTCATTGACTGACTCACTCATTTAATGCTTAAATTCTATCTATAATATGCCCATCAAGGTTTAGTCTTTGCCTGAAAATCTCTTGTTCAGAAGATCTTCCAAACTAACAAATGAAGTTATAAAAATCTACACATATGTAGAATGTATCAAACTGCATTTATCTGCTTGTGATGCTTTAAGATTTAGAACTATAAAAATTATTTCCCTTAAGCTACTTTTGAGAGAAAAAAATTCTTATCTTAAAGATCATTTAAAAACTTTATGGCCTTATTTGTCAGAATTTTATATGCTACATTGTTATTTTGTGTCTAGCTGAGGAACTGAATTTGCATCTGTTCCCCCAATGATAGGACCGTTTATTAAACATGAAGTACAAAGAAAATATGAGTTAATAACAGCAAATTTTAAATAAAAAAGACAACACAGACAAACTTCAACTTATGTTTACCTCTAGGCAGTTTTGAGATTAGAAAGTAAATGAATATCCACCTATCATAAAATCCAAGGAAATAAAACCTATGAAAACACTGATGGCAATAATCACCTGCTAAGGGCTTACAGAAGGAGCTTTCTAAGATCAAGGCCTTTATAATTAGGGGTTCAACACCCATATTGTAGGGGGAAAATGTGTACTAATAGAAGAGATGATGTTGTTTCTGGTAGAAATTTGCAAACCTTTTGGATTTTTCAGTCTCACATACCAGAAGAGAATATTCCACCTTTCACAGAATTCTCTGCAACATGAGTTCCGGTGTATTCTGAGTGCTGTTTCACAATATGAAGTGATGACTGAGAGAATTTTAAAGCCCTGAAGAAAGAATTTAGTCTTATCCTCAATAAGAGAAGATACAAATTCAAAAATTTGCTCTTGGAATGGCCCCATAATAATGATCTGCTATATCTTTGTGCTTCACCGAAACAGCTGAATAGTAATTTCCTACTCAGTAAAGTTACAGGGAATAAAGGACACCTTTTGCAAACGGCATTTTCACATTTCTACTGTTAGATACAAAAGTGCATCGGTAGCTACTTCCCCGGAATAAAAATCCTCAGGTAGGAAGCGTGCTTACGTGGCTCCCCCGCCTAAATCCCAGTAGCGTGGTGGGCACTGCCTTGTCTTGCATCTTGCCACCTCTGAGCGAGCGGAGGAGGGGCCCAGAAAGCAGCAGGAACGAAGTTCCTCCTCCCATGTGCAGCAGCCCTCTCTCCTGGTGTTTCCAGGCTCTGGGGAAAGCAAACTGGCACTTACCCACGACAAGAACAGGCACTCCTGCCCCAGAACTTTGGCTAACTGCCTTGCTGCTGACACATCAACTCCAGTCCAGTGCAGCTGTCACCAGGTAGAGCCGGTGCTTTGCCAGAGCCGCGAGATCGCCTCATTCATCCGGCTGAACCCAGAACAGGGCGTGAGTCTTTCTGGAGCTTGCGCCGTAATGGAATTGCTAGTTGAATGGCACGGACATTTTCCACTTTGCCAGGCAATACACTCCGTTGTTCATAAAACTCTTCTTACGTGTTTTTCATCTTTGCTAAATCCATAGTAAAATCCTCTTCTCACTGTTAATATTATTTATTTTTGTATATTTTTTCTTTATCAAACTTTCCAGAGGTTTGAATCAACTTTTGGCTTTATTTATCTAATTGTTTCTTTGTTTTCAACTACTTTTAATATCTGTTCCTACTATAAATTATTTTTTCTTCCCTCTACTTTCTTTTTGTTAATTATGTTGTCTTCTAACTTCTTGTGTTTCATGCTAAACTCACTCATCTTCAGTACAGTGGCCCCTTGAACAGTATGAGTTTGAACTGGGCAGGTCCACTTATACTTGGATTTTTTTTCAATAAGTATACAGTCAGCTCTCATATCCTGGGTTTCACATCTGTGGATTCAACCAACCATGAATTGAAAACTGTATTTTCAATCTGTAGTTGAGAATCCTTGGAGTTAGAGGGCCCACAGAATGCACTGTTATTTTTTATTATTTTTTTAAATCCCCACCCAAGGATATTTTTTCCATTGCTTTTCAGAGAGAATGGAAGGGAGAGTGAGAGAGAAACATTGATGTGAGACACATCGATTGGTTGTTTTCCACACGAGCCCCGAGTAGGGCCAGGGATGGAGCCTGCAACTTAGGTACGTGCCCTTGGCCAGAATCGAACCCAGGACCCTTCAGTCTGAGGGTCGATGCTCTAACCACTGAGCCAAACAGGCTAGGGCCAGAATGCATTGTTCTATAGCATTTTATATATGGGACCTGAGCAACTGCAGATTTTGGTATCTATGGGGTCCTGGAACCAGTTCCTAGTGGATACCAAGAATTGACTATAATTAAGTTTTGGAGAGTCAAAATACATAGTACATGAATTTTCAAATGTCCAAGAGTCAGCACCTCAAACCCCGACATTGTTCAAGGGTCAACTGTATGCTTTTTCAAATATGTAATTTAAGTCTACAAATTTCAAAGTACTACACTACTTACATTCCATTAAGTTTTTATATGATATATTAGCAGTCATTTCTAAGGATTTATTAATTTCCAAAAATCTCTGATTTTTAATTTTGTGGCAGATACAGGATTATTATTTGAACAGGTTTAGGGGTCGAGACAGGTGGTCGGGCAGTAAATAAGTGGCATAAGATGAAGCTCCAAAGGCATAACCTCATGAGTTCAAAGCACACTAGATTGGGACAGAACAGTGGGTGCTCACTGCTGAGAGCACTGGTGGCCTTCTGCATTAATGCTTGTTCGCTGAAAGTGAAACAGCTTGTATTGCCTCTCCTTGGATAAACACAGATAATAGCACTGGTT